AAGAAGATACCAAATGCCAGTGTAATTTTGCTCATACCTAAGTGTCACGCTCAAAATTTGTGAAACTTCATGAAGTGTTAAATAAGGAAAACATCATTATTAAATTGTTATGAAGTACTCCGAACAATTTGACCAGTTGTAAGTTTAGAAGCAACTTCAGGACTTATGTAAATGCAATTTCAACAACTACAAAGTAATTTGACAAACTCAAATTCAAGGATCATTTACTGACTTCATGATCTGCATATATACACTTTCATTATCAAGATCATATTATGCAAGCAATTATATAATAACATCCATAACTTCAATTGATGATCATTAAATAACTGTGATAAAGGAATTGTCTAATACTCATAATAAATCCATAACACTGAAGCCCCAAACCCCAAAAACCTTTAATATCCAAAGATCTCCAACTAGGTCAATATTCCATTTTTCCTCAAAATATACAACAGTAAAAAAAATGCATGCAAGGGATTTCCACAAACTACTAAGAATATCCACAAAGACTAGAGAAATCCTAACTGCAAATAATCTCTTTACTTTCTCTCTTCAACTCATACCTGAAGGTTGAAATGCAGGCATTAGCTACTAGTTCAGTAAGTAAACTATGCATGATGGTTTTGATTATTCTTTTTCCAATTACATAAGGCAGATAACTACAACTAATCTAGAAACCATTTCTGTCAAATCAAAATTATACCCATTACAAAACCTAAGTCAAATCACAAATAACACTATAATAAGAAACATGCTATTATTCATAAAAAGAACATTACAACAGGGGACAAGTTGTCCACTGAACAAGCTAGACTACTCAACTATAACTACAAAACAGAGCTAAAACATGACATAACAGGAGTGAAAACTACGACACAGCAGTACTCTAATCATTAAATATAACTTTAAAAGAACTACTCCTAAACTCCGATCACAAATAACAGTCACATGTAATTTTCCCATATAGAGATTAATTGTGTTTCAACTAACATATAATTTGCCCACGTAGAGATTATAATTTCTAGTAAGACTTTCCAATACATACCAAAATTATCATTTCTAGTAATATAATCTCCAAACCATTTTCACATTACTATACATACCTGTACCCTACTAGTCACCAACTGCCAGAAAAATACAACACAGTAGCACACAACGGTTGTCACCAATGTATGCTACAGGGAAATTACAAGGAAGTTGCCACTGTAGGATGCCCCTCAGTCAGTTGTAACAGCCCACAAAGCCACCGCAAGTGTGTGTATAGTCATACCCACCAGCCATCACCAACAGCATAGACCATATCAGTGAACTAACTGCAGGATGACTCAGTCCTGGTCGAGACACCAATAACGTCAGTTCAAATATAGCAGTGGAATCGCAATTAGAATTTACGGTTTAGGTGGTGTGTTGGCCTTAACACATATATCCCAAATTCTTGAATAAATGATTTTAAACTAAAATAATGTTTTTGAATTGCCATGAAAGATTTCAAAAAACAGTCAACAAAGTGTCGGCATTTATTGGTGCAAAGTGTCGGCATTTATTGGTGCAAACCAAGATTCAAAAATGAAATCACACTTCCTGGTAATACACAATGGAGGAAAAAAATTTAGACAAAAAACAAAAACTCCTACCAGCGTCCATGATCCACAAGAGATATTTGTTATTAACTTAGATATTAAAATGGTACAAGACAACCTTGTGCAAAATCACATAATTCAAACCATATTATGTTCAAACTTTATAACTTGAACCTCGGTAAATGGTCCCTACACCTCGGTGGAAGTGTTTCTTGTGGTTATGCATGCACATAGATTTTTTATGTTTCAATTTTCTTCTCAATATTTTGCACTCTCTTGTGACTCTTCTCCTAACCATATTCTGTTCAAACTTATAACTTGAAGTGTAGGATATAAAGTTTAATAAAAAAATTATATGTATAAAAAAGAAAGTTAACACAAGATGGGATGAGTTACATTGAGAAAATAAAGGATAGCACTCGGTTTAACAGAGGATATAACCCAATTACAGCCCAATTTGCGGCAAAACCCATATTGGACTTCAAAGCATGTTTGAGTTGATCCACGAGCCTAAAACATTTCAGTTCTTTGTTTGTGACAACAAAGTAAATAGTTGAGTGCACATTGTGACAGAAAATGTTAGGCACCTGTATAGAGTCAATTGAAACTTGATGCCAAAGGTTGCTGACCAGCCATGACCATGTGTACACAGAGATTTCTTATTTCATTTCAACCTACTGCTCCCAAAAAGAAAACCCCCGCTCCCTTACAACTTTCCTAGTTTCAGGTTGCTGAAGGAAATCTTTTTCCTGATGAGATTTATTGGATATTACACTAGTTTTCATGTCTGGCTGACTACAGTCCAGTTGATCTCCTTCTTTATCAGTTGTTTGGAATGTGGAAATCTGCTTACCAGACAGCCATGACTGAAGCATCTCTTCTGTCCTTGGTTCTGGTAAATACTGTTTCTCTTTCATCTCCATATAATATTTGTAGGCTTCCTCCAACTTTCCATTCAAAAAGAGCCCATGTATCAGCACAATATATGAGCTACGATCAGGATTGACTCCATTCTCACTCATTTCACTCCACAACTTGAACACGTGATCAAGCTGGCGCCATCGACAAAATTTTCGAATCAACATTATGTAGGTATCAGTATTTGGGTGGCAACCTGTGTATTTCATCATGTCCAAGAGCTCAAACACTTTCTCTCCAGTCCTCAAAATACGGAAGAAGGCATGGTAAGTCTGAATTGTGGGAAGATGGCCTCGCTGCAACATGTCATCAAGGATGTGTCTAGCCTCATCAATTTTCCCGGCCTTGCAGAGAGGTTTGATGAGCGAGTTATAAGTGACAACATTGGGAGCAATACCCTTGTCTTGCATTGTTTTCACGAGATTGATAGCCTCTTTCAGGAGCCTGCGCTTTCCAAGAGCGTAAATGAGCGCATTGTAAACTTTCCTATCTGCCTCGATCTTCATTGCCTTCATCCGATCGAAGAGCTTGAGCACCCTGTTAATGTTAGAGGCTTTTGAATAGCAAGATATGAGACATGAATATGAGACAGCATCGTGCACAACACCCCTCTTGCTCATCTCAGTCCAAACTCTCTCGGCCTCACGGGGACTTACAATGATATTGCACCAACCATTGAGGATAATGTTAAAGCTCTTGGTGTTAAAGGGGAAGACATTTCTGTTGCAGAATAGCAATTGCTCAGCTTCTTGTACATTTTTGTAGCGGCAAAGGGCGGAGAGAAGGCCATGGAAGTCATCCATCCCAGCCACCAAGTTAAAGCGTTTATAAGCGTAGAAAGTGTTGATAGCCTTCCCAACATCATGTACACAAGAATATTTTCTAATCATGATCAAGAGAGTGTGAGGACTGACAAGTGACAAACCTCTCATTTCATCAATCAAACCCCAGGCAGTGTCAAACTTTCTCATTTTGCCCATAATGGAGATCATGCAATGATATTCTCGCAGCGAATGAGTATAGCCTGGCTGCTTTCCAGCCCAGAGGAAGAAGGCGAATGCCGATTCCCAATCGTTGCGAACGCGTGAAAGAACTTCCACCACCAGCTCTGATGAGGCTGCTATGCAACATTCATCAAGCTTACTTGTCATCTCAGACCCCAACGATTTTCGCAGACTTAATATATTCACAATGCTTTTTACATCTCCAGCAAGACCCTCATCACCCCTATGTGAACCGGAGGGTCTCAAGTCGCCGTCGTCTAAGTCCTGGTCGTCGTCGTCAACATCATCATGACGGGCAACAAATTTGCTATTAGCTGTGGAACTGCCATCATCTGAGCTCTGCAACTTCGAGTGTGGGCTGCTAGTAGAAGAAGACCAAAGGAAGACCACCGGAGTAAAAGAATGCGTTGGAGCTGAAGATAAAGCTGGGACTTGCTTCAAGGCAAAGGCAGCAGCAATGGACATAAAAACAGAGGCATGGCTAGGCGGTGGTTTATGTAGAAAAATTGTATACAGGGATTTTATTCTGGCCATGTTTCGCAGCATTTCTACAAAGCACAGCAATGCCTATCAACTGTTTGTAAAAATAACCAAACCAATCCTTTAATAATCCTTTAATCCTTTAATACAGGGATATGATGTACCTTTTTTCGGGTGGCCTTCAATTGCGCAGACGCAGACGCAGAGGCAATCAATCCTAAATTTTCAGCCCTTATATCTCAAATTCTGAATGACTTCGCCTTCATACACTATCAATGAGCGACGAGAGTCTCTGTGTGGCAGTGGGAAGGACTTTTAACTTAAGATTATATGCATGATGCATCACTTGACTAGCAACTTGTGCAAGCTCTCTGTTCTGCGCACCCACAGCTGAAAATTCTGCTATGGCCCGCGATCAAACCCACCACCAACTCCTAAGCCAAAGGCCCAAGTAGCAGAAAGAAAAGGACACTCCTACCATGTCAAGTCCAAATGCTATCCCCGACTAGGCTTGGGCATGGATCAGTTTGGTTCACGAGAAAGCTTAACCCGTTAATCATATCAAATTTATACCAAATTTTGGATAAGCCAAAATTGCTACTGATTTTCACCAAAAAAAAAAAAAAAAAATTGCTACTGATAACTGATACTTCGGGCGCATATTAACTGATGCTTTGGGCACGGATCAGTTTGAGTCGATATTCTAAACTTTCATTTTGGTTTGGTTTGGTTTAGTATGGATATTTTACATCGTGTTGGTTTCATGAGAGTTCTAGTTTTTCCTGTAACAAATTTTTTCTTTTAAATATTATGATTTTTCAACTCACAGAAGTGATGATTACAATTTAGAAAATGGAAGTGAGAATATTAGCATTGGGCTGTTTTATAATCTGAGAGGGAAATGAGCTAGTTCAGCACAGCGTCACATTAAACAGTTGCGTCATTTCACTCTTCACTAGACGTATTTCCCAGCTCACGTGAGCAGAAAGAAAACCAAAGGAAACGAACTGAATGGTTATGGTAGACATAAATTAGGAAGAACAATCCGTCTCTTACAGCCCCACACACACGAACGAATGGTGATACCATTTTGCTTACTCAGCCGACAAAACTAACACAACTAATTGAATCAAATTGTTATCTCAAGAATTGTAAGTCTGAACTAATTACAAATGAAGACAAATTAAACTATATTCTCTCATTATTCCCAAAATATAGACCAAATCCAATTCCCAAATCAACCTAATATCAGTTTATGAGGTCGGCTTCTGAGCATTACCAATCGTGCCGCTCAAAGACCACCGGTCGCCATAAACTCAAAAGGCCACTGAATTTCTTTGCAAGAGGTGATTTAGCAGATAATGCGACCTGCAATTATAATGAGGACACAGCCTCTATGGCACTGCCTAGTGGCCATGCTGCTTCAACCAAGGCGTTATTATACTTGACCTTCTTCACCAACGTAATCTCTTGCCACGGATCTAGACCTGTTTAAGATATAGATGCAAACAGTTTTGACGTATTATAATTCAGATCTAATTTTATCTTAGATGAAATGTCATTGTCAACTTGCTTAACTAGCTAAATCATAATTGAATGAAACCTACCGAATCCATTTACAAGCAATGTAAATTGGTAAACAAGATCCATGCACAAGAACGGCAGATTGTCCTCCTTAACATCTTGATAAGCGGATTTAGCATCCTCAAGTTTAGTTTCACAAGCACGCTTAGCTGCCTCCTCAAAGTTCCCAGGGCGAACTTTGGCAACAGGTTCGTTTCGGTTAACAAAGCCAGCCTGCATATATAATATGTGGTCAGCAAAACCATGTAGTTGTGTAAGATGAACCCTAAACTTTTCATGCACATTACACAAAAACATATAAAAATCAAGAATGATGAAATACCTCAGCAGCTCTGTCAAAGAAAAATGAAGCTACAAAAAGGTTCCGTTGTCCATCCCCTCCTCCACCGTTCCATACCCCGCCAAAGGTGCACTTCATGTGGGTACATGTTGCTTCATTTACTTTGAGTGCCTTCATAGCTACCCTCATGCACCCCTCAACACTTGATCCAGATGAGGAAGCCGACGCTTTATAAATTTGTCCTCCATATTTGTAAGAACCTGAACAACATACCAAAATTTCCCAACAAACAGCCTATTAAGCACTAATCCAAAACCAGAACGTAAAAATTTCAATGCCCTGTACTTCACATAGAGCTGCCCACCCACATATGATGATTTTTGACTCATTTAAAATATAGAATACTGTCAATGGAGTTAAAGACCTATAAATTATGACAGTTTTGATATTCTAGAGAATGTAGATGCAGCAGCAAAGAAGTATAAAAGTATAAAAGATGATTCTGCTAAAGTGATGAAGAACAAGAATTTGGGATATATTTATAAGAAAGAGCAAATCAACATACCATCATATCCAGCTAAGATGCAGGGGTTGCCGGAATCATCAGAAACCTTTAAAATCTCTGCTCGAGCTGCTAGTAACCCGTAATGCAAGTAACTGCATAAAAACAAAATTAAAACACAATTAACCTAGTCACACAATCCTATAAGAGTTATGTCATTTGAAATGATGTTGAGGAAATAAATGAATGCAAAACAAAACAATGAAACCAGAAAAATAAATCCTGACATCATTAAGCAGGAAGAAAGAGAAAAACCTGTGAACATAGAGGTTATATTTTGTTCCTTTAAGAGTCATTTCTCTTACATACGAATCATCTCCATCTGATAACCTCGGTGCCTTTGCGGCATCTGCCTCTGAAATGGCATAAGCCATTTGAACAGATCCACCTCCAAGATCGACTACACCAACAGTATCTGAATACTTCTTCCCAACATTTCCTAGTAGATAGTTTATTGTCACCTGAAGACAAGAGAATGTAAAACAATGACTGCTTTTTTTTCTTCTTCTTCTTCTTGGTTATGGATAAGTATGCACATACAAGTATGGCTATTATTCCCCAAATCGTGGGTGTTATTCTCTCCATCTTTACTTATGTATGCTTCACAGATAACAATTTCATAAGTTGGTTTTCAAAAAAAAATTTGGATTGTTTAATATACTCCATTGTCTGCCATAAAATAAACAACATTAAACACCATTGTTTCATCGTTAGGAATTGCATTCAGACTTCCGAATCTTTATCAATTTTTATTCTGTGAAAAAAGATATTTCACAGATACCCAGAGAGCAGAGTCCAGAAGGCAGAATCAATTAAGGGAAGGTATATAAGTGAAATAAATGAGTGCATAAATTCAAAGAAGAAAAAAAAAAAAACAAAAAAACAAATTCCTAGCATACCCACTGGAAGGAACCCTCTTGAGTTCCATCAATAACAGTGACGGAATCGGGTTTGGAGTTGAGGCTGCTTCTTTCTTTCAGCAGATTCCGAACCTTTCGAAAGAAAGACAAACAACTATGTCAATTGAGTTTCAAAAATGGAAATGCAGATGAATGGCAGAAAAATTAACCAGATTCCGGGGAAAAAGAAAGAGAAAGAAGAAGATAGAGATACATACGGCTTGGAGAATGCGGTCAGAAGCATCGCCCTCCAAAGCCCTCAAGCCAGCAGTAGCCCCAACGCGGACGGGAGTGAAGGAGCGCAGGTCTTTTGGGACAGCGCTTTCGGCCTTGTCGAGAAGCTCGGTGAGGGACTCGGCAGCAGAGCGAGGGTCCTTGGCAAAAGCGCTCAAGCCAGGCGTGACCTGAATGAAGAGCTCGAGATCCTTGCCGATGGGGAGAAGCTGGAGGTTGTGGTCAAAGCAGAAAACGTGGACGCGGCTGCCGGAGCTGCCGGCGTCAAAGATCACGGCATAAGAGGTCTTGGGAGGCAGCTTGCGGTGGTTGCGATTGGTGGTGACGGTGGTGGACAGCTCGCCGCCTCCGCCGCCGCCGGGCATAACGTAGAGAACCATGGTGAGGAGGAGGAGAGGGACAGAGATGACGAGAAGGACGCTCCTGTATCTGTACATTTTGTCGGAGAAGGAGTCGTATTGGGGATTGCCCATGCCGATTCCTCTTCCGCCGGGACGCTTGAGCATCTTGTTGTCGGAGTAGTCGGTTAGGGGGTCGTGCTGGGAATGGGAATGATCGGACGGTGGAGAATTGTTCTGGATCAGAGTCTGAGCCTCGAGCAGTTCAGCCGACGAAGGCGATCTGTATCGGATCTGACCGTTGAGATTGAGGGGCTGCTGCTTCCCTTCCTGTGCCGGCTCCAGATTGGAGTATTAGTCCTGGGATCAAATAATCCCAACTCTCTCACTCCGCCACTCGAGTTACAGACTGCTCTGCCTGGGATCTAAATCTCTCAGTCTATCTCCTCTCCTCTGTGTACAAAAGGAATTGATAAGCAAAGGAGTTTCAGCCAGCCCCCAACCTACAATGCCTTTTGCCTTTTGCTTCCCAGAATCTATACATATACATACATATATATATAGAGGCCACTGCAGTGCAGAGTCTGCAGAGTGCAAGAGACGAGAGCAATGGTTGTTGGGTTGGGATGTTTGCGGACTTGGGATGAATGAACCAACATTACCCCTCACGCCTCACCCTCTGCCTAGAATTTTATAGCTGCAATTTTACGACCAAAAAAAAAAAACAAAATATGAAATATTGCGTTACCATAAACAAATAATTAATCTTAAGAAAAACACTTTGTGTAAAGTAAAAGTATACACAAAAATAAAACGAATTTCCTAAAAGTATACACATTTCTTATATTTCCCGTAAAGTTCCTCTTTCCGTATTTCGTATAGGGCCAGCTTTAGACATACATTACACTTTACATTACCAATTTCATTATGGTTTCAAACCCACATTTCTCTCAAAGTTTTTTTTTTTTTGAAACAAAGATAAGGGGTGTATTCAATTGTGATTTTACTGGATTGTTTTGAAGCTTAAAAGTACGACAGTATTCAATTAAGATTTCTAAGTAATCAATAAAAATCTGGTGATATTCAATTAGGATTTTTAAATAATCAATACAAGTTCGGTGGTATTCAATTAGGACTTTTAAAAGATAAGAAAAAGTAGGGGTGGCATTTTAAACCGAAAAATCGAAAAACTGCAAAAATCAACCGACAATTTACCGCAATGAAACCTCAATCGCGGTAAACCGAACCGCATTTGCGGTTGCGGTTGCGGTATTTGATTTTCAAAACTTGCGGTTACCGCAAATCGCAAAGTATAGCCGCACGGATGATGAAGTTGAATTATACAAGGAAATGGAACATATAACAACTTGTAAGTAATTAGTTTATTTATGCTAATGTTATTTATGCTTCTTCTTATAATAAAATGTACTACACTATGTTGTTTTATTTGTAAATAACATTGGTGCTCAAACAACACAACGGGGTTCTTCAAATCCACTCACCACCAACACTTGAGTTTGTAACATTGGTGCATTGCATTTTCCTTTTAGTTTGTAACTTTAATTAACTTTGAATTGAATTTTTCTTTTTTGTTGTAATTTTAATTCATTTTGCTTTGCATTTGATTTATAACTTTAAAGGATTTGAATTTGGAATGCTTGAGAAGTTTAACTTTAATTGGAATGCTTGGAATTGTAACTTTAATTTTCTTAGGTTGTGAAGGCTTGAGAAGTTGAGGAGATTGTGAATTTATATATGTTTGAGAAATTGAGGTTGTGTATTTATTTATTTAGGTTGTGAATTTATATTTTTGTGAATGCTTGAGAATTTGCGGTTTTGAACCGCTAATTCGCGGTAACCGACCGCAAAACGCAGTCGGTTTGCGGTTTCAAAAATCACCAAACCGCAAATAGTCGGTCGGTTTGCGGTTTGAGTAAAAATTCGCGGTTACCGAACCGCAACCACCCCTAAGAAAAAATACCGTGGTATTCAAAAACTTACTGATTTTGTGTTATTTCATTACATGATGTATTGTATGAGATTTTTAAGTGTGTGATATAAATACCAAATCACATAACAAATCTCATCTTCCTATGCATGATTCTCATATATGCTCTCATACTTTTTTTTTTTCCCACTATTTTTGTATGCTTTCGATTGTACATAAAAAAAAAAAACTTTTCATAAAAGAGACGATAAAGAAACATTAACAAGAAAGATGATATTGCCTCTTCTGGAGCTAATGGGCATTTTCCAATAGCTCTTCTTTCCTTGTAGACAAGCTTATTTGGAGCAAAATTATATTTTCGATACTTTTTTTTTTTATAGAATCTCTTGCTCATTGTAAACATTTCCTCGCAAGGAGTTACAGCCCTCCACAACTCTACAGGTGTGCCCATAAGTTGCTTCATCTAATGCCTTAAAGAGGCTTTCTTTTTTTCTTTTTTTCTTTTTTTTTTCTTTTTCTTTTTTTTATAATGCGTAGCTGCTGCACATACAGTGCACATGGCTAAATATTTTTTCTAATTCCCTGTCCCAAAACATTTGGGACCAAGACAAAACAAAAAAAAGAAAGAAGAAGCCTTACCCATAATCTAGAAGAAACGTTGATAAGGTGCAAGGTGTTTTTTTCACTCCACAGTTTTGGTCCAAGCTTTGACAAAAACTAGGAGTAGTCATGGGCTGGGCTAGGATTTTTTATTTTGTATTTCTGGTGCTATCTGTTTTACATTAGGTGTTGGTGGTTTTGCATGTAGCTTCTAGCCTCTGCTTATGCTTTTGTATTTCTATTGTTAGTTTCTCAGTTGTGTTGTGTTTCTTTAACGTATTCATTCTGGCCATGTGTGGCTATGTTGGGAGTTACATTGTTGATGTCGATGTACTCTCCCTGGACTAACCTTTGATGATTACTGTGCCTCTATCTTTATATTAACCCTAAAAATTGGGTATCTACATCCTAAAAATTGGGTATATTCCTTCAGGTTATGTATTTAGGTGAATGATGATGGGTGATAAAGTTCAAGCAATATAGGTAAAATCATGTAATTGCAATCTATTAAAATCATAAGTAAAATTATGTAATTGCAATCTATTAAAATCATGAGTAAAATCATATAATTACAAATCCGGCTGAAATCCATTACATTAAAATCATGTAATTACAATCTATTAAAATCTCAATTGAATACACTCTCCTTAGAATGAGCATTGTCTAAGGATCTCTAAATTCTTACAATCATACATTAATTTTAAGGCCAATGTAGTAAGAAAATCACAAAACCAAATACAGTCTCTCTCAAAAGCTTTTTTTTCCTCTTTTCTCGAAAAACCTGGGCACCTCTTCAAAACTCAATTTTCTTTTTGCCCCAAATTTCTACGGATAAAGAATTGTTTTCAGTTTCTAATTGGTTCTTGGTGTGTTAAATCTTTTTAGAAACTAATTAGAAAATGACAAGTCACTATTTTCGAGTTTTTCTCTCCAAATAAGCTCTATATAGGTATTTGTATAATATGTCATGTTGATTGGAAAGAATATTTACTGAAGAATATTTACTTCACAGTTTTAGGGGTTCAATTTCATGAGGATTGAGGGTTAATTTTAGGAGGAGAATTCACATAGTTTGGTTGTTGGAGTCTTGCCAGACAGGAGTTGGTGCTTTGATACTTTGATTAGTGTCAGGAGAAATTGAGTGGTATGCTGTGTCTCTTTGTGGCACTCTCTCCTTCTCATTTCAGTAGCGTTATGAAGCGATTCTCGGATGTTAGACTCCGATTTGGCACTGTTATTGCTTGTTGATGTTGCTCTGTATTATGAGTTGGTTTCTGGTGAGTTTGTTTTATTGTTTGATTTTTTAAGCTCATTGTTTCTAGCATGTATGAGGTGTTGTGAATTTGTACTGATTTAGTTGGCTGGACCCTCCTTCTTCAGGGGCTGCTGTGTAATGCAAGTTCTGTAATTTGCCCAATTCTTTAATGAAAATCTTATTTATCACAAAAATAAAATAAAATAAAATAAAATAAAAATAATGTTGTTCTTCTCATGTCCAATGGAAGCCAATTCATGCCATATTTGATTCTCGAAAAACATACCGAATTTGTAAAATCCACATTTCAAGCAAGAGAGATATTTATTGCTTCATAAAAGTTGCATTGTTTATTTATTTATATTCTAAACCACAGAGGAGGAGCATGAGGTTTCTCAACACACTGCCAATGAGTCATGGGAATTCAAACTTAAGACTATTGAGCTGCAAGCTAAGGCCTTCTTCCACTATGCTAGACCTCGTTGGCAAAATTGCATTATTTTTTGTTGGCGAGTGTTGAAATATTTTTATATATATGATGTTCACCTGTTTTGGACGATAAGTTGTTCCAATTTAAATGACATGAGAGTGAAGAATCATGTACGAATGACTTTAGGATCCAATATCTTAAAACTTCTGAATAGGTTACATAGAATGGTTAGTGCAAGACTGTTAATTAGGTTAGGATGGCCTAAAGGTGTGACCATGACAATGGACACTCTCTCAACTTTATCATGCATGGTAAGAGCAGTTGGCCTTATGGATTCGTGGTAAGAGTTTGCATCCCACCCATTAGCTACCTGCCCAGGCAAAGATGACTCCTAACTACTATGAGATAATCTTAGCTACAAAAAACACCATGCTATCAACTTCAAGTTTTTCTTCCACATTCTCATCTTCCCGCCCACCAAAACCATTATGGCTAAATCTCTTAGACAAGGATTATCCACTACATGCAATGACTAAACACTTTCTCCCAGTTGTTATCACAAGCTCAACTTCATGCTTTTCGCTATTCTCTCTTTGAAACCTTTAAACACCATGTGTTGGTACCATGACCGGCCAAACAACTCGATGCAATGTCAAGAATCCCACATCGACATATTGCAAGACGTGAGGGCTCTCCCTTACCTACCTATAAAGGGAGACCACTCTCCACTTTGAAGGGGTATTCGACATCTTCTTCCCCCTCTAATTGGGATCAACCCTTATGTACAATGTAATCACAACTACTTATTATAATGAGAACATCTCTTTTTGCGAACGAAGCTTATTCCAGCGAACTATGTACATCTGTTGTCTGACCCATGTCTGTTTATTTCTTCCATCTATCTAACCTGTTGAACATACCAAAATGCCAAAGGCGCTTGCCCACCTAACGCACGCATGCACAAACATTCCCCAATCAAAGAATATCACGGTGGGCGTTTCCAAATGCCTCATGTACTATATCGGGCATCGCTTGGAAAAGTAGATCAAGCAAAAAGATGGCAGAAGATCTGGAAGAAGAAAAAAAAAGGATGGCAGAAAACAGAGCTGGAAGGGATATCTAATGAACGGATGGCAACGCCTGCCATTTAACCCAGCTATATTATCAATGCTCTCTCGTTGAACACGCTGAAATTCATTGCCAGCACGTGCATAAAGAATGCCAACGTCAAAACACAACTTTGACTAGACAGTCATTTTATTTTATCCACAATTTGAAGACAGGTTTACCAACCCTAAGGTCCTCCTTATCTTCTGATGAAAATGACCAGAAAGAAGCTACCCCACTTCGCCTCTTCTCTTCAGGCCTTCTTGGCCTTCTTTTCGCCTTTGGCAGGTAGGGGGGGAAAGACAGCTCGGAAAATCCAACCAGCCAATATTGCTCCTATGAAGGGGCAAATCCAATACACATAAAACTGCTCCCATGTGTTGTGCCAATTGTTTAGATATGCCCAACCAAATGCCTGCGAACACGACAAGTAGTACATTTTATAAGGCCATAAAGCTTGGATAGTTGATGATTGGCCTATTGATGATACACACAAAAAGATCTAATATTATTTGATTTAAAAACAAATGATACAAAAGAATAACAGCAACAGATTTAGAAAAGAGAGAAATAGCTTGACCAAAAAACAAAAGAAAAAATATCATAAATAATTCAGTTGCCAAGCCATTTGCTTCTCCATTCATAAATCAATCCAACAGAGGATTCAGATTCTGAAAACTATTCAACCAAAAGAAATGAACAAAGGGATAATGGCTGTAGTACCTTAACAGCTGTAAAGTGAAGTCAGTTCACTACAATCCAAAGGAAACTGTCCAAGGTGCACAACTCAACACATAAAATTGCCATCTCTTCCCACGAGGGAATAACCAAAACAATGAACGATCAGTCTTTGCCTATAACATTTACGGCATGTATCAGAACTATATAAGGTCTAGACTATTTGAAGTGATGAAGATTGTACATGCACTGTTCTTGAGTGAAACAAGCGAGCCCCTTCCAATTTATCTAGTAACCCGACCATCTCAGCTATCTCCGCCTCATTCAGATTTCTCCTAAGACCAAAGTTCCAACTATAATGGTACAAAGAAGGATCCACAAAACATGAAATACTCTTTTGATGTTTTCTGGCCAGTCAGAATAATCTGGGATACAGTTCTTTCAACAGTCCAACCTCCAAACAACAATCCCCCCAGAACATCACCCTCTCCCTGTTGCCTGCTACAAATTCACAACAGAAATAAAGGAAACCTGAAGGAAATATCTTTCCAAGGGCTACAACTTGAGCCTCTCACTAAAAGGTTTGCATCCCACCCGTTGTTAGCCTCCCCATATTTACTTCTTATCATCTTATGCCAAAACAAACTTGTTTCCCTCGGATACCTCCATAACCACTTAGCAAGTAAAGCTTTGTTCCTCTCACTCAAATTGGCCACACCTAAACCTCCATCCTCCTTACTTAAGACCACTAAAGTTCAGACTGTGCTTTTTCGGGAAGGCCATTAGTAACTGAAGAAGTGTAATGTAAAAAAGTTATATCTCATGGAACGAAAACAAGACTAGTCCTCCGCTATCAACTTTAAGATCAAACCCCACCATATTTCTCATCCTAGACACCATACTTGTTGAATTTTTCTACAACACTAATTCTAAAATTTCCCCTTCCTGTAAATCCAAACTGATGAGACCAATTATCCAACATTAAATTCAATATGAGATGACAAAATTCCTCATCAACTAATGCAGTAACCTTTCAACGTCGTCAAATAGATAGATAGGGAAATGGGCTATTAATGGCTTGAAATCTTAGATTGAACAAATTGGCAACAACTTTCTCTGGATTAAGAAGTCATCAACGCATTTAAGATTTTGAGTTTCTTATCATTTCAACTATTAGTCAGTCTAAGTCAAGCATTTGTCATTCACCAAATGACTTGTCAAAAGATAAACAAAGCATTTACAACCTAGAAACGAAATACAAGATCAAAATTAAGAAGAGGCAAAACATCATCAGACATACACTAATTCAAACAATAAACCTAACTGGAAGCTCTCCTTAGATTTTAAATAGAAGAGAAGTATTTTCAACTGAAGTTAGAAACTCACCAATTAACCTGGAAGATTATCTTTCATTTAAAGAAGAAAACAAAATACATTTCAAGGAGACAGTAATTAATGCATTCACACTAGCCTATTCAGTCCTGTATTTCCTTCATTACCCACAATTTTCACTGTTTAAAATCTAAACATAACAGCGATACAGAGAGATACTTCAAGAAAATGAAATCATTTGTGCCTTGACTTCTATTATACTCAGAAATTCCCCAATCCCGCTTCGCGGACTTGGACTACCTGCCCAACCCTACAATCTTTTGTGGCTTGACTTTTCAAACTGGGAAAATGGTTCCAGATAGGGGAAAGTAGAGAGGAACTTTTTAAACAATAAGGAAATATTGGCATTTATATTTTAACTGTTAAGGTCCTATCAAAAAAATAACCATTACGGAAATACCACTAATGTGGTAAATACAGCAGTCCTTACATTCTATTGTTGTAATACTTTTCCAGTGATATATTACAACCAACAGAATTTTGAAACTAATGCTACTAATGGAATGCTGTCACGAACAAATTGAAGAGTTATTTATGTCGAACTTAAGAACAGAAGATGGGCATAGTAAAATAACAGAAATAGAACTAGAAGAGGAATTCATACTTAATGAATCAGATGAAAATAAACAAAGTTCCTAAAATCTGTGCGCAACTCTCTTCCTCTGTCTCTCTTTCCGTTTGTCTAACTTCTAATCTAAGATGGCCATAAATTCTTTTAATCTCTGATAATGTTGCATATTCAAACTCAATGAATCAGATGAAAATAAACATGTTCTAATATTTATGCACAACTCTCTCTCTCTCTCTCACGCATGAACATAGGGGTGGAGCTAGAATTGTAAAGTTGGGGGGGGGCCAAAATAGAAAATACAAGTATATCAAACACCTAAGTATTCAAGATACATGTGAGAGCTAAATATTTCTAAATTAAACATGTCTACTTTGTTTTAGAGGGGCCATTAACTTAAATTATAAGTTGTCTATCACTAATTCTATATATTATTACTCATGGCCTAGGAGTAGCTCCACCACTGCACACACACACGAAGCATACAAAGAGTAGTGGCTGGAGAGGTTTTTTTCGAGAGGGTGAACGCCAAAAATGTGGGGAAAATAAAGGTGATAGTGCAAGGAGGCACTAAGGCATTTATAAGGAAGATAGAAAGTACATTGAAATAGAAGCCAAGAGGATATACATTTCTCCTTTTTCTCCTCTCCTGTAGCTTTTATATATTTTTAGCATAATTGTGTTTATTACTCTGCTTGACAGACAGGAAGATGCCATTTCCATTTTGTCCATCTGTCCCATAAATCATATATTGACAACTACCATACAAACAAAAGCCGAAGAGCATAATAGCAATGTCAAAGAATAAAGAAAGATATCTCAAGGGGTTCAATGATAGTAACCAAACACACTTAGTATTATGATAAGCACCACCAATCTGATATAGCGTATCTCATTTACTACAATAGAAAATATCCCATCCTCGTAATGGATCAAGGGGAAACAATAAATTTCTTAAACATGAGTTCCAATAGTAAAACATTCATCTTAAGGATGAGTTATCAAAAAAGCAGTACACATAGCACAGGGAAAGTATAACCATTATTGTAAGATTTTTATAGTGATGCTGTATTAAATTTAATATGTTTCCTACTACTGCAAGGAATCGATATGGTATAGGCAGAAGAGAAAGAATGACATTATAACTATGATTCATGGGGGAAAAAAAAAAGAAAAAAAGAGAGCATGGTTTACTTACATTGGCTGGATTCATTGAAGGGCCGGTGTAGACAGAACCGGAAACAACCAATGTGACAGTGACCACAGAAAGTAGCAACATCTTCAAAACTGGGCTACGAGGACCCTTGAGTATGATTACAAGGACAAGAAAGGAGATTACGAAAGTCAATACCCCCTCAGCGATAGCTCCAGTATGCACGTCAACTTTTAATGAAGGCCCTCCAAGCATGTGCTTGTATTGCTGTGGCATGACCTCGTTAATGGCTAGTACTCCACCCACAGCACCCAAAGCCTGTGCAAGAAAAGAGAGATGTATTTTATATGCAATTTTGATCGTTAATTAGATTTTTTATATTAAGCAGCCTAGAATCATTTTGGGTTCTTTTCTATACATCCATTGGTTGAGAACAAGGCATAAAGTGAGTTTCCTTTTTGCAATAATGAGCAGAGCAGATTCTGTTAGTTAAATTGCAACAGCAGAGCAGTCAGCAGCAGATGATAAATTCTTAAATGATGCATTGCATAGTTTTGATATGGGCAATAAGAATTGAACAAAACCGAGTAGAGAGCGAGAGAGAGAGAGAGAGAGAGAGATTAATTAGTAAGGAAGGCTTCGGGTTTAGGGTGAGGTGACCTGAGCAGGGAAGCGGAGGGCCATGGAGAGGAGGGTGTCGGCGCCAAGGCCGGCGGCGTAAAAGGAGGCAGTGCCAGTGGGGTTGAAGCTGGCCCCACCCAAGGCGTCTCCGAGGAAGGTGAAGACAAACACAAGGACGAAGACAAGGGCGGTGGTGATGAAGAGCGGCAGCCATAGAAGGTCCTGAACCCCAACGGCATTTGCGATGAAGCTGGTGGCTAGTCCAAGCGTCGATGCGCAGGAAATCCACAAGAAGGTGAGCACAGTGTCTCCAACAGCTGCCTTAATCGCACCCATCTCTTCTGATATCTGATATCTGATCTCTTTTGTTCTTCGTTGTTGTCTTTCCAAGTAAAAATATGAGCAGAGCAGATGTCTTTGCTTTGTCTATCTATCTGGTCAAAGGCAGAAGGGAAGACACCATCAACATTCATTCAAGATTCAAGGATATCCAAGATTCAAGATTCAAGCAAGCAGCCTTGTTGGAGTTTATAATAATAAAATAATATACAAAAGGAAATTGACAAAATAATTGAGTGAGAAACCGACTGCTGACAGACAGACTGACTGACTGACTGGTATAAAGCGTGATGATTCATATGTAATGTAATGTAATTGTAACTGACCTAATGAAATGAATTAAACAAATTGGTTGGAGGAGAGGAGATGATGAAGATCCCAGACTGATGTAATGAGACTAGTAGGCGGTTATAGAGTTAGCAGGCAGAAGAAGATTTTTCCAAATCCTGCACGCTCTCTCTCTCTCTCTCTCTCTCTCTCTCTCTCATACTCTCAGTTGTTGGAAATGTGCTTTCTCACTTCACTACCAGGATTGGGTTGGGGTTGGGCCCATGTATTACTTTCTTCTTTCGCTTTTGCTGGACCTTTTTATTCGTAAAAGCTCTTCTTCTTTTTTATGAGCAAGGAGGAGAAAGCCCCACAAACAGAAACAACTACAAACAGGGAACCAAGTTTTCAGTCATTTTATATTACTAGACCAACTTCTAAAAAGGTTTTTTATGTTTTAGACATAAAAAAAATTTCACTTTTGGAAAAAACCAAAGCTTTTTCAAAAAAGACAAAAAAACCACTCAACTTTCAAATCAAAGACATGCAAATGTATTGGATTCCTTAGGAAATCTAAAAATAAATAAGGGCATTTTTGTCTATTTTTGCTTCTTTTAAAATTTTTCTCTCTCCTTTTGCTTTTTCCAAAATGTCCCCTTCTAAAAACCTCTGCTAAAAAAAAGAACTTCTAAAAACCCCTGGCAGATGTAAACCCAATTTATGTTTTTTGGCTGATGTGGATTCCACATAAACAAAAATAATAATAAACCACTTTTTCTAAATTAATTAATGATAAAATAAAATAAACAATTTGCCTACTACTTTTTTATTTATTTATAAATGGTGACAGAAATTTATTAGATCAATGAAAAAAAAAGTATAAAAAAAAATATTGTAAAGGGAGTCATCTCATTTGTAGCGGACATAGGTAAACCTTCCCTAGCCGAAGAGTTGAAAAATATGTAGAGAAAAACTCAACAAACTCAACAAAGTTTCTAAAATTATGAGAGAAAAATAACATATACAACTAAATAGAGTTTCTGAACTTTTTGAACAAACAAGATTAAAACTAAAGAACTTAATTAACACTGACAAAAAGGAAAAACAAATGTCGTTAATCTTCCTTTGGGACATAACGTAGAGAGCACCACCTAGTCACTCCATGGCTTCTGTTTGTGCAAATTTCTCACGGGAGAATATTCTCATGTAGATCCTTCACCCTTTGAGCTTCCTTATCTATCTTTCTCGGTTCTTACGAAACAAATAAGAGTAAAAGACCACATCCAGTAGGTGTTAGCCAAAGGTCTTCCGATGTCTAAGTTAGTTCGATTGAATCTTTGAGAAACAATAGCTAAAAAGGGTACAGAGTTTTTCTCTCACGGGTAGAGCCAGGTGGCTAGAACCATGTGTGGCGGCACTTGGCTGTGTGGGAGAGATGAAAATCGGAGAGGATGGCAACTAGGGAGGCCGTCGGCTAGAGAGAGAGAGAGGTTTCGGGGATATTTGCTTGGTTTTGGAATTACCTCATGTGTTGAATGTGGCTATGTCTTTCAGGGAGATTGTGTCAATTAGGGATTTGATTGGGATCAAATCACTAATTGGTGATAATATCTCCAAAATAAGATAATATCTTAAATTGGTGATATTATCTTTTAATTGGTGATTATATTCCCAAATAAATATAATATCCCTATTTTTAGTATCAATTAATTGGCCAAATAAATGGGCTCAATTAATTGACTTAGGAGATATTCTTCTTGTCCACGTGGCACATTGTGATTGGAAGCCGGAATATTTGCTCCCACACCCTCAACAAACCAATGAACAATATATCTTCCATGACCAAACAATAACACATCAAAGAGCAGGCCAGCAAGATGAGGCACAATCAAAGCCATCCCAAATATGTGGTATATACAACATATCTGCCAAAAACTAGAGAACACTTAGGAGATCTCTCTCTCTCTCTCTCTCTCTCTCTCTCTCTCTCTCTCACACACACACACACACACACAACTAATATTAAGACTCTTAGGAATAGGCAGAAATAATATGATTGGTTTTTAACTATAGAAGTCCCTAAATTTTGCCTCGAGTTGCAATTGGGTCCCCTAACTTTTTTTTGAGGCAATTACATCTATTAACTCCACAAACAGTTCTAATTGGGTCCTACCGTCCAACTCTGTCAATTTGTCCGTCAAAATAAGTGGGCTCCATCATTGACCCCAACTCTACCTTCTTCATCCATCATCGACCCTAATCACCCCACCTCCATCTTCAGAGCCTTCTCCCCCAGGGACGGAGCAAGAAAAAAATTTCAATGGGGGCATCTCATTAAAGCTTCACAATGATGTTGAGGTAAAACTTGCATTTAGTTTAAATAGAAAAGTGATCCTAATTGAACTATAAAAGAGAAGAATAATATTTTTTTTCTTTGAGCTTCATACTTGTTTTTGCTTTGACAAATATGGAGCGATGGAAAGTACAAGAGCATTGAGCACAGAGCTGTGACAACCGAAAGCAAGGCAAGGCTAAATTTTTTAATCCTCCTCTTTCTCTCCCTTTACCCAACCCTTGGCAACCACAACCACCCTCACCTCAATCTTTTTACCCAACCTCTCAAATTCAAACAACCATTGGAGCTTTATGATAATTCCCGGAAGTCACACCAGTGGCTTTGTTCCAATCAGAAACATGAAACATAGTGTAGAGAAAAAGAAACACAAAATTGCAAATGGAAAACCTCATTAAATTCAGCCATGGAAGAACAAGATAGGAATTTGCAGAAATTGCAGCAGAAAGCAAGAATCATGAGGTACCGTCCTAGCAACCTCTGGCTCTGGTCTATACCATAATAACAAGGGAAACTAAAGAAAACAATTTGAATGGGTTTGGCAGAGATATGGTTTGGGGAGTGTGAATGAATTTTGTTATCAATTGATGGGTTTGGGTTCATGGTTTCAAGTGGATGAGTAGGGGCATCTGCACCCAATGAGCCTTAGCTGGCTCTGTCCCTGTTCTCCACCAAGCCCAAAACTCAGAAACCCCCAACTCAACGATCCTGGTTATGATAGTGTAACCATCAGAGCCAAAACCCTCAAAACCACAAAACTCAACAACCACAATTCGACTTTTAGGAAGGATTAAGCCATCAGAGGCAAAACCCCAAAACTCAAAAACCCCCAAGCCCAATGCCACCATACAACAACCCTCGTCCCCACCCAAGATCCACCCAGCCTCACTTCCCCTCCAAATCCTCTTTCTCTTTCTCTCTCTCTCTCTCTGCAAATTCAAAAATTGAAAAAGAAAAAAAAATCGAACACTTTGCATCTTGGGGGGTGGGGTTGCGGGAGATGAGGGGTGGGTTGCAAGTTGGGTTGGGATCTAGGTTTTGTAGGGGTGGGAGAGGGGGGGGGGGGGGTGGGCACTTTTTCAGTTTTTTTTTTCATTTTTAAAAATTTAAAATATTTTAATTGATATGGACGGTTTTAGCCATCAAATTAATGCCAAATTGACCGAAGGACTCAATTGAAACATATGAGAGAGTTGGATGACCTAATTGCCTCGAAAAAAAGTTTGGAGACCCAATTGCAACTCGAGGTGAAGTTCAGGGATCTCTACAGTTAAAAACCCTAATATGACAGCTGCTTAGAATCAAATGAAAGTGTTTTGTGTACTTGAGATCAAGGGTGACGGCCTAGGGCCTTGGACCAAGAGGCCCCAAAATGTTTAATATATGTATATATTATATATAATTATTTAGGCCCATATAAAAAGTGATTTTTTAAGAATTCAAAAATATAAGAGTCCAAATAAAAATGATTTCAAATCTTTAACAATACAAGGCCTCATTTTTAAAAATTATTAATTTTCTATGGAGTAGCAAATATGCAATTTGTTGGGGTCTTTTTTCGTCGGAAGGCTCATCCGGGCTTATTGATTCTTGGACTGCCATAGAGTGATGAATCAAGCCTTCAATGCCCCTTTTTCTGAGTTAGCAAGAACTAGGCCCAAAGTACCCCGAGGGAAGGGAGTACTTTGTTCTTCTTCCAGCAACTGCGTGTTTTGTGTTGATGTTTCCAGCAGCTCGACGATAAGTTGAAGATGACTTGCTGATGTTGATATGAGACTATATGAGCTTGACATGAGAGCTTGGAGTGTGGGAGCTAAAGACCCACAAGTTTAGCAAATGAGAATGCATGTGCTCGGCTTGGTGTTTGATATATTTGAGTTTGGTGCTGATAATTTGTTGTGTGTGGCTATAGCTATGGGGATTTAAGAGTTTCAAGAGAAGGAGGATGTAAGGAAAAGCTTGAGGTTTGAAGGCTATGGTGTTTAAAGCTTGGAAGGAAAGAAAAGCTTGGAGTTATGCTTGGTGAGGCTTTATGGAGAAGATGATGGATTTCAAGGGTGAGAAAGTAGAAGACATGGTTGTGATGGCTGAGGAATGACTGTGAAGGCTACTGGAATACTAGCAACAACTAAGGAAAGGTGAGTTCTCATGGTTGCTGAGAAGCTTGCAACAACCAAGAGGGGTTGATGGCTGCTGGGATGCTTGCAGCAGCCGAGTAAGAAGTGTTGGCTGAAGAAAAATTGGTTCCCTTTGCTTGAGCCATGAATGCCAATTTATAGAGGGTGAGGGTTTTCCTTTATTTCCGATAGGTAAAGAGAGGTGTTGGAACCAGCATATTTCCAGTGGTTAAAAGGGAGCACTGGGGCATACTATTTTCCAGCATGTAAAGCTAGGTACCATAAACTGATTATTTCCTATAGGTAAAAGGAAGCACTAGAAACTGCTTGGTTCCAGTGGGTAATAGGAAGTGCTGGAAAAGGCTTGTTTCCAATGGGTAAAGCTAGGTATTTGGAAAATGACTATTTCCTATAGGTAAAATGAAGTGCTTGAAAAATATCTCATTTGCTTATCCACATTGGAGAACTCTAAGTAATGGGCTTGGACTTTGGTGCTCCCAAGTAGCTAGCCCAAAATCTCCATTATCCAAAAGCTTCCGTGGGCCTTGTGGACCTCCGTAACCTTCCACACCACAATCCCTCATGCAAGCCCCGTAAACCATATGACTTGGGTTCATGTGAGCTTGATAAGTGACTGGCATGAGAAAAATATATTATTAGTTTGGCATGGCATGTACGCTATTTCTATATTTATTTAATGAATTAAATCCCAAAATACAGCTTGGATTAATGCATGACCGATAATATATGTTATATTGGGCTTTAAATGTCTTTGGGCTTCCCGTGACTTTTTTGGGCCTCAACA